TTAAATATGTTATGAAAGTATTTATAAATGGTTTAAATTATAAATAGATAAAAAAATGAGTGAGGGATAAGTGGGTTGTACCTTTTTGGACCCTAGAAATGTGTTGCTAAAAAGTGGTTTTTGAGTTTTTATAAACATGAGCAAAGAGAGGCTTTGTGTTAATATATTTGCTAAGAAAAAGTATAGTGGAGCCTGACTATGTTGACTTTGCTGTTATGGACTTGATGTGCAAGCTTGAAGTTTAATCATTCTAGAAAAATATGTATTGTGGAATGCTTTATTTACCATGTTGTAGTTTTACATTCAATAACATTATTGTGTAGACTGTTCATTTTAGTATTTTTTTTTCTTTCATTTATAAATTATTACTCATTGGATCAGGAACATAGTTGCTTTTAGTTTGTGGATATGCATTTGATACTGTATTTGGGAGTATGCATGCCAATGCCATTAACTTGTATTGTCGATATGTTGTCTCCATTAATTCTCTATGTTGCAAGGCAACTAAATGGCATTCACCTTCAAGAAATGACAGTGTTAATTGTCAAATGACGAAAATACGGCTTCAAAAAAATGAAGAGGTTCGAAAAAAATAAATAGTTTGGTGGTTCAAATTTGCCCCCTTCAATGACCGAGATATCCTATCAAGTCATTCAGGATGTTTCTAAACTATGAGGTACACTCATGTTTTTGCACATGCACACATAAAATTATATCTTCATACATCTGATTTTTCTTAGCTATATGTTTGATTGTGGATCAGAACGAATTTCTATCATTTTCACGTCCATGAGACCAAAATTAATAGAATAGAAGGGAATACACAAGGGGAATATAAATGAAAATAGTGGTTAAAATGTATCGAAGGGGATTGTAAATGGGAAATGTTGGTGTCAACTGATATCCAATTCATATTAGTTTTTGTCTATCTTCATGCATTAATACAAATTTTTGAGTAGTGTGTAATTTCTGTTGTCTTGAATTGCATATGCATGTTTCTTTTCCATTCATTTTGGGTCGAACATTAACTCAAATATCCTTTCGTCAGGTCAAGTGATGCTCAGGATATTGCAGTCCAAATAAGTTATGTTTAATTGATAATTAAAGGAAATAATATAAGATTAGTGAATAACTTCTGGGCCATCAGTTTGAAGGAATGTACTTGGTCCTCCATTGATAATTAATAAGTTATTATAATATTCTAATTCTAATTTGATTAATAAGTTATTGTAATATTCTATTAGAATTCCATTGACCTTTATCCAAATTATATGCACCTTTAAACTCATTCCTAGTTAAATTCTTGTTCTTCGTAATTTTTATATATTGAATTGTACGGATCCTTTTAGTTCTTTGGATCAATTTTATGTAAATCCTTCTGAGA